GGGCGGTGGAACGAGCCGACGAGCCCGGGGAGGGGAAAGGCAGCGCTTGGTGTTCGGAGTGGGCTCCGGGCCCTGCCCGTCTTCCTCTGTTCTCACCTTGAATTGGTGAATCATTTCGTATTTATTTTACTCCCGATATCGCCTCGGTGACAGAAAACACGTTTCTACACTGAAATCCCTTCCCTTCCCTTCCCTTCCCTTCCCTTCCCTTCCCTTCCCTTTTTTCAAACGAGCACCTTCCATTCTAACATTTGTGGCCAGAGTTTTGTAAGGCCACAGCTATTTTGATTTTTGAGAGACCTTTTTTTGGTAAAAATGAAGCTATTTGTGATTTCTGGCACAGTCGCTGCCACGGAGGATGTTCAGCACCGCTTGCCAGAGAGCAAAAGGAGATGTGACATCCTCAGCTCTGTGTTTTCTCACTGGAATTCACCAAAATCTCTTTAGCTGACTAAAAGGGATGCTGCACAAAATGCTGCCTTTGAAGCCATTTTCATGTATCGGGCAGCAGGGTGGGAGAAATGAATATCTAGGGCTCTCACACAGCAGAGGGAGTTGCAATCCCCAAAGGAACAGGAGGCCAGGCCTTTTTATACATTTGTTTTAAAAATTATTTCTTGATTTGTTTTCCTTTCCCTTTATATCAGCAGGGAAAGAATGTCAGCCAAAACTCCTGAGGGAAGCTGAATCCTTCACATACCTCTCTTTTTATTTTTTTTTTTTTTTTAATTATTGTTAATAGAGTTTAATGAGGGAATTCAGCAAACACAGCAATGAAGGGCAGTGCCAGTGGCTGCATCAAGAGGGTCTGTGGGCACGGCATTGAGACTGAAATCCAGAGCAAGCAGCTCCTGTTTGTAGTGTTTCCTAATGCCCCAGACAGTGGTTTCCTTCTCATTTCCAAGCCAGCATAAGCCCAGAGCCTACTGACTTGGCACGTGGATCTCCTGAGTGAGGACAGGGATACAAGAGGAGATGTACAGGAGGAGCAAAGGCTTTAGAGAAACATTCCAGCAACATTGATATCCCGAGTTTTTTCTCTCTTGAGCAGAAGTTGCTGATGAGAAAGAGGAAAAGCTGTTACATCCTCCTTTGTTTCCAAATAAGTCACTTTTTCCTATGAGAGATGCATTTTTTTTGCTTTCAAAAATGCTGCCATAATCATCTGTCACGGCTATCTCCCAACACATCTTTTTTCACCATATTTTTAGCATTAGGACTGCACATGTAATAGATTATTCTCATGTTGTTTAGACTCAAAATATGGATCTTAGATGTCTGAAAAAGATAAAAATGAGTAAAACATTTAAAAATATTTTATTAGTGCCTGCGGACTGCAAAAAGACACTGTCTGACTTTCTTGATGTAAAAATATTTAATTTCTGCATCTCCACTTCTATATTTGATTCCAACACTGAAAAGAAAGAAAAAGTGATGGGTTTCGTTTATTATATAGATTATTTGCTATTTATTTGTTAATGCTATTATCAGATTCCTATCTCAAAATATTACTTTTTTTTTTTTTAATTAAGATAAAGGAGAGGAAAAATATCTCAGAAGCAAAGGGATGAAATCAGTTCCATTCTTTGCCATCAAAAGCCCTGCACAGTGGGATTAATTAGGTAAGTGGGTATAAACAATACAAGGAGGGCAGTGAACACAATGTTCAGAATCACTGCCTGGCTGTTATCTTTTCCTGCCATGATTTAAGCAGCTTCTTGAAATAAATCAGGGTGCCCCTACCATTACCTTGTCTGAAAGGCTGTTCCATATCTTCATCCATCCAGAAGTCAGAAACCTTATCATAATTGCCTGGCTTAGGGGAAATTACATTCCTTTGACCCTGGGCCAGTATTATCCTTTAACTTAAATACCTCTGTCTCTCCCTGGTATCTGCTCTTCCTATGCACTTAGAGAGAGCAATCCCAGTCAGTGCCCCTGGCACACTTTCCAGCTGTAATCTTATCCCCAAGGAGAGCTGTGTCCTGTTACAAAGGACAGCACATTTCAACACGTGTTGCATTAATCAAACTTACTGCAACAGAGGGACACCAGGAAACAAATATGTAAAATCTAAGATATTTTTGTTTCACCTATTCTGTACTAACAGACATCAAATAAACCTGAACTGAAAAGTGGCCCTTTTTTTCTACCCACGAGAAATTAACTTCAAGTTCCAACTTTAAATTGATATATTTTCTTCAACAAAGACAACAGGAAAGGATGAGGACAAATGATAACAGCTTTGGAGAGGTTATAGCAAGTAGGCATTTTTTTAAACACTTGCTTATGAAATCTTACTGACTTCCAGTCATCCAGAGCACAACTGCATCCAAACCTCTGCATCCAAACAGGCACCGTCTGATGTATTTCCTTGGCACACTCACAGATTGGACTGTAATATTCTGCAGGCCTAGAGTATGTTTATTCAAGGGTTTTACAGATGGCAAAAAACAAGTTGTAGGTATAGCAGCCAAATGAAGGTTTTGTTAGTGGATGATGATGCTTCCAATTGCAGGGCCACTCAGGATCTCAGCCATCACAGACTCCAGTTGGGCTACATGTTATACAATAAACAGCTGGTTTGTATGTGCAGGGTTTAGAGGGATTGTCCAATGGCTTATTAAAACATTATAATTCTCTGATAATTTCTCCATTGCTGTGCATGTGTTTTCTTAGGTATTTTTTAATAGCAAATTTCCACTTCCCTCAATGTGCTCTCACAATATTCCATCTGCAAGCAAGGCAAAGGGGTGCTTAAGTGTATGTCAGAGCAGTTTCATGTTTGAAGAGCAATTTAAAGTGAAATAACACAGAATGCTTAATATAGTTTATTTAGTCCAAGAACCAATTCTTGTTTGACTTCAGCATCTTAAGGTGGTAACACTTCCTGCTGAGGAGACTGAGATCACAGAAGTGTGAAGGCTACACAGTCATTGTGAGGAATGATTAGGGCAGGGAGGTTCACCATCTGTCAATTAATTTTTTCCTTTAAAAAAAGGCACCTTTGTTCCGTTGTTTCCCAAAGTCCACTATGAAACACTGCTCCCTCTTGAAGTGAAGGATGAGACACCTCACCCATTCTGTCCCCAGCCTGTCCACCCAGCTCTGCTGTAGGAGGGACCAGGACCTCTCTGTTTTGTGAAAGCTAAACATTCCCACTGTCCCTGAATGCAGCCATTAGCAGAGCACAGCTCCTCTTATAAACAGTGTATGGAAGGCTATAAACAAAGCCAGGGAAGTATATGTAAGGCTGCAAATAAAGCTATTTCAGGGCTACCTTTAGTTTAAACTACTGTTACTAACATTACTAACACCGTAGTTTTTTTCTGATTAGTATCTTTTATCTTTGTTCCTCTTAGCAAGAACACAGAGACTAAACAAATGGAAAAAGTCACTCATCTGGAAGCTCTGCAGTTTGCTGCTGTGCTGGAGACCTGTGTCGATCAGCTCGAAATTCTTGGATATATCATGCCAATTTCAGATGAGGAAAAGACTGACCTCAGCCACGTATGTGCCTATATCCCCCCCCGCTTAAAAAATTAATATCTTATTTTTTTCCTTTCCTTGTCTTTTACCAGCATTTTTAAAAATCAACTCAAGTATTTTTTCTGTAAATGCTCCATGACCCCTGGGTGAAGAAACACAATAGAAGTGCATGGATGACTGGTTTTCATGTTTAAACTGCGGCATCACTGAGAAGCCTTTGTCAAGACTTTGCAGAGGACCCTACTGACCTGTGATAAATTTTCTGGGCTAATGATTTTAAAGTCTCAGTTACTAGCAAAGGATTAGAGAAAAGGAAGCAAACCATATGTAGGTTCTTATGGAGATGCACAGCTATTTTAAAAGTAGAAGTGAAT